CCCCTGCTAGTATCCCAGACTGTAACTCTTTATGGGAGTAGAAAGCCCCATCTTTTTCCCAAGGAGTAGCTGATGGTTTGACCATGTGGATCGCAGCCCAACAAGTAACCACTGCACGACCAAGGCTCCTTAGTGATCCTATAAGGTACAGTAAAACTAACTGGCTCATGGGGCTTCTGAGGCTGTAAAGCTCTATAAAAGCAAATTGCCACATCTTTCCCTTGAGAAATGGCTGGAGGGTTTGAACCAGTGACTTTTTGGTTAGCACTTTAGCCACTGTGGCACCAGTGCTCCTCCACAATAGGAAGAGAAGTAACTGATGAACGCATGGAAAGAGGATAAATAAGAAAGATAGTGCAAATATGACAGAGCATTAACAGCTGCTCAGTCTAGATCTGGGGTTCTCTCGCAGGGACAATTTTGACCCCAGAGAGCATCTGATTATGCTTGGAGTCATTTTCTCACAAATGACTGGTCCACCTAGTGGGTAAAGGCCAAGGGAGAATGCTTACATCCTGAAGTTCTCAAGACAGTCCCTAAACAAAGAATTACCTGGCCCCGAGTGTCAAGAGTGCCGAGGTCAAGAGCGAAGGGTATGCAGTTGTTGTTGGACGCCATCCAGGGCCACCTCCTGTGTCTCATAGTAGAACTGTGCTCTATGGGGAATGGCTGATTTCCAAAGATTACCAGCTCTTTCTCCCTGGTGCATATAGTAAGTGCACAATAACTGGGGGCTCCTGCGGTTGCTAGTGGGACATGGGCAACCCCACAAGTACAGAGTAGATCTGCTGCATACGGTTTTCAAGGTTGGGATCTTTCCAAAGCAGGTGGCCGGGTCTTATCTGTGTGCGCCACTCAGGGACTGAAGGATAAACGAGAGTTCATTTTCTTATTTTTTTAAGGTTTTCATAAGTTTGATTTGTCTCACAATTTTAAAAAATGAAACCATTTCGATAAAATAAAAACACCTTTCAGTCCAGCAAAACACAGAAGCATGCTTGGCAACCAGGGCTACTGTCATTCCCACTTTCCTCCAATAAGCAGGGGTGGAACAGGCTGCTGCGCCCTGATTGAGGGGCTGCCCGTTGTGTTTGTGCCCTGCTCCCTACTGGGGGTGTTCCCCTAACCCCTCTGAGCAGCCCAGAAGCCCCAGGCCCTGAGCAAGCACGCTAACACCTCGAGGGGAATCCCCACCAGGTCTCAATTTGTCCCTTGGGACAACACAAGGACACTGCTCACCAGGGAAAGCTTAAGAGACAGGAGCAACAGCATGCTGGGAAGCTCTGCCAAGAAGGGGCTTCCAAGAGAGATGGGAAGAAACACCATCTCAGGTCCCTGGCACCCTCAGGCAGAACAAATGAGGAGGGCTGCCACTGCCAGTTAATCTCAGTTGATGGCCAGGCAGAGCCTGCCACCTCCCCAGAGAGCATTCCCCAGAGCACTAGGCCAAGCTAATGAGCCAACTGCCAGAGTTGGGGCTGGGTCTGACTACCTGGGTTGCTAGGGCAGCCCCAGCCCCACTGAAACACCACACAGGTGACCAAAAAAAAACTCACTGTGTTCGAGAAAAACCAAACTCACTGCCTTCGAGTGACTGCTGACTCATAGCAGCCTTCTGTGGGTTTCCAAACAGTAATTGCTTACAGTAGTAGAAACTCCAGTCTTTCTCCCATGGAGGTGCTAGTGGTTTCAAACACCTTAAGCAGTTCGAAACCAGCAGCAGCTCCTCCGGAGAAAGACAGGGCTTTTTACTCCTACAAACAGTTACAGTATCAGAAACCCACTGGGGGTCACTGTAAGTCAGCATTGACTCCATGGCAGTCACGGTTACAGGCAGTGAAAAAACAAGCAAGGGAAGGCAGGTAAGGGTCACCTTGGCCTCACCCCTCTCAGGGATGAAATCATCCCTTCCCTAACCTGTCAAATATTCCTAAACCCCAAACCAGTGATTCTGTAAGTGTGGAACACTTTCAGTCAGAACCATGCATAAACGATTGTTAAATACAGCTTTCCAGGGCCACCCGGAACACCTACTGATTTAGAGTCAGTAAATGGAACTAGGGAGCCCTGGTGGTGTGGTGGTTACTCACTCGGCTGTGATCCACAAGGTCAGCAGTTGGAAACCACCAGACGCTCCGCAAGAGAAAGATGGGCTTTCTACTCCATAAACCGTTTCATTCTCAGAAACTCATGGGCAGTTCTACAGGGCCACGGTGAATAAGAATTAACTTGATGGCAGTGAGTGTGGTTTGTTTTTTTTTTTAGTTTGGATGGAACCCAGGGATCTGCATTTTAGTAACACCTCCAGGTTTGGACACGCACTCGATCTGAAAATATCTGTCTCAGGAGCCTGTGAAACCATGAATCTAGAGCAGCAGTTCTCAACCTGTGGGTCTCGACCCCTTTGGAGGTCAAATGACCCTTTCACAGGGGTCACCTGATTCATAACAGTAGAAAAACTACAGTTACGAAGTAGCAATGAAAATGATTTTATGATTGGGGGTCACCACAACATGAAGAACTGTATTAAAGGGTCATGGCATTAGGAAGGTTGAGAACCACTGGACTTGAGGGGGCAGTTTTCTAAGCAACCTTGGACAAGCCAGGCAGATGACACCCTGATTGCCCCTTCTGTAAAATGGGCATTAAAACAGCCTGTGACTTACTGAGTAGTAGAGAGAACTAAATGGGAGAACTTACACACACACACACACACACACACACACAATGGTACAATGTCTGGCACGCAGTGTGAACTCAACAAATATTATTCTTTTTTCCTGAGCAGCAGAGAGGAGTGGGGGCTTTTTAAAGGTGTGGATGGTCAGGCTCCACCACGCCGCTCTAAATCAGATTTAATTATTGGGGGGAGTGTGTTTCAAGCACAGCATTCCAAGTGATTCAAAACAGCAGTCTGGGTTTAAGAACTCCACTGATGAGATTCTAAAATCTGTTAAAATCCACTAATCTCTTCCTGAGCAGGTACTTCCATCATGTCAGTCTTTTCCAGAATTTTTCCTGGACCCCCATTGAGACCCAGCTACCCCTGGAGGATCCACTGGCCAGGGACTTGTCCTGGCCCCTGCAATCCTGAAGGTGACTGCAACCTCCTTGATAGTCACCCTCCATCCCCTGCTGGGGGGCAGGGCTGGGAAGCTGGGTTCCTGACAGATTTTCAGGACCAAGGTCTAGTGCTAGCTTGCTAGGCCACTCAGATGAAAGTACAGAAATCCCCCTCACTGTTCCTTTAGAAGCTTCATCCCAACCCCTTCCCCAACCTTAGAGATCCGGTTAGTCCAGCAATAGGCTCAGCAGAGATCTTAGAGGAGGGCTTTAACTCCAGTCAGCAAGGCTGCCTACCTGTCTACCTGTCGGTCTCTGGACAATGCTCCCTAACAGGACGACAGGCTGCATCAACTGTGCCCCCACCTCCTCTGTGCCCTCATTTTTCCACAAGAGGGGCTGCCCAGGATGCTGAGGAGAACAAGAGGTCAGCGCTGGGCTCGGGGTGGGCTCCAGCTGCCCGGGTGCACCAGGGGCTGCAGGGGTGGGTGGGGCCAGCTCCTCATTCCTTCAGTAGGTCAGGCTTCTAGAATCCCCTGGGTGCTTTGCTCTCAGGAGTCCTTTGCCCAGGGAACTCACCTCCCCACACACCTGAACGGAAAGAAACTTCCTCGCCTCTTTCCCCAAATCCCTCCCCTCTGGAAGGGGTGGGGGGATAGGAAAACATAGGATGCCCTCTGCGTATAAATAGCAAATAATTACTAGTGAGATGGTGATGTGCCTTCGCCTATTTTTGGTGGGTCTCTTTGTTCAGATGTTTTTAGACCGGCGCACGGGGCGCGTGCACACACTCGCTCACGCACAGGCCTGGCGGAGGTGTGTGCAAGGAGG